GGGGTAGGGGAGGGGGCTTAATCCACCACTATTCATCTCTTTGTGGCAGCGGGCAAGATACACTAATCAGGACTTCTTGATCATTTCCAGTAACTCCAAGTCAAAAAGGCCAGTTAACTAGTGGAGAATAGAGATTTTACAGTTATAATATTTGAAACATAACTATCTTGTTCATTTCAAGGCTGAGAAGTACACTTCGAGTGTCAGGATCAACTCTTAAGGATTGTCAAAGACAATCTGCAACGCATAGAGCAAACAGATTGTCCATTAACCATTTGCAAAACTAGTACTAATAATATGTAACTGAATTATATCATTAGATGATTTTGTACTGTTGTAGTAAAAGATTATTTGCAAAATTATTCTAAATACTATAAATCATAAGCTTAATGTGCATCAATATTCTTCTACCAACAAATAAATTCACCAATATAAACATGGAGAAAAGGGGGAGGGAGGGGAGACTTATGTTGCTCGGATCCTTCAAAATGATCGCTTTCTCCAAAACTGCACTATTTTTTGAGAATCCCACATGGGTGTGGTTTTGGCAGATCCGAGCAACATAGGGAGAGAAAGGAGCAGCATTAGCAAGAGATTTAACTTATAATCTTGACTGTGTAATAAAATTTACTTTGTTATTACGTTTTTAACATGTTGTAACAGTTGTTTCTAAAGTGGATTTAACATAAATACGCTAACATTATAAAGAATTTTTTCACTAGCAGGTGAACACAATTATGTGTAAATATCTTTTAGCTTACCTGATAGGGGACACTATCTACTCTTTTCAAGTTACTATTAATCCTACTTTCTATGGAAAGTTACTACTAGTAGTTATCTTTTCAAGTGCATTCTTTATGGATAGAAGTTAAAGTCTAACAAGAAGGAAGACAAAGGAATTAACCTTAGTAAAGATGCCAATGCCACACTCAATAGCAACTTTAGTCAAGAAGAGATCATCAGCCAGCAGCCGTTCTTTAAACCCGCCAAAGCCAAGCAGCCACCGGAGAAAAGGTGATTTTTCGAGCTCCAAGTACCGGTTAACGATGGCTGGAGGTATTTTCCCGGCCTCAATTGCAGCAGCCAAGTCCTTAGGCAAGCTGTCCAGTGATCTTTCAGCTTCAGCCAAAGCCATTATTGCTTCTTTCTTGTTCCTTTCCCCTGAATCTTCATCATCCTTCCCTCCTCCACCTCCACCTCCACCACCTCCTTCTCCGCCGCCAAAATTACTGTTACCGCCGTGATTACTGAAGATGGGGAAAGAAGTACGAGGAGGGTGAGAATGAAATTTAAGAGAAAAAGTAGGAAAGTTGGTTTGGTAAGTAAGGGATGAGAAGCGAAAAGTTGAAGATTGAGAGTGGCTGAAAGAGCAGGTATTAAGGTAGGAGGTGGCCGTGGCGGTGGCGATGGCCGCCATTGGGGGTGGTGGAAGTTGTGGACTGTAATGACAGTTGACAGTTAGCTTCTTTACTTTTGCAGTTTCTCAATTCTGACGAAAAATAGGAGTTTTTTTTATTAGCAAGTAGAGAATTTTCTGACACAAATTAAACACGGTATAAAATTATGAGCCTGTTTGGCTTAGCTGATTTAGAGTAGCTGATAAGCATTAGGTGTTAAAAAGCACTTAAAGCTGATTTAAAAAATAAGAAGTTAGGTGTTTGAATAAAAGTGCTGAAATTAATAATATAGAGCTGAAGAACTACCTGAAGCTGATTTAAAAAATAAGAAGTTACCTGTTTGGATAAAAGTGCTGAAATTAATAATATGGAGCTGAAGAACTACGAAGAGTTTTGTTTTAAAAAGAATTATTTTAGGGATAGAATAGTAATTATTTTGGTAAAACCTAAAGTGCTTATAAGCTGAAATTTGATAAGTTGGGAGAGACCAACTTATGGCTTTTGGCTTATTTTTGGCTTATAAGTACTTAACTTATAAGCACTTTTAATTTTACCAAACGCGTAGATAAGCCAAAAAGTGCTTATAAGCCAGTTTGACCAGCTTCTAAGCTCAGCCAAACACCCTCTATGTACTACTCCTTGCTTTCACTTCTAGTTGTTTATTTTTGACTTTTCACTTTCTTTTAAAAAAATATATTTTATAAATTTACCTCTAATAATAAAAGTAACATTTTCATAAGTATTGTATAATAGACAAATAAAAGCGAACGGACCAAATACTACTGTATAATTCTTCTCTTGTGCTAAATCTTTCTTAGAAATAGGACTGGTCCAACTGGCTAAATGGGGAAGTGCAACTGTAATGACCCAAAATATGATTGATAATTTGATAAAGCGTCCAGCTTTTGATATGGTTGTAAATCCTTTGGGTACTAAATTCTTTTTAGGAAATGTTATGGCTTTAGTCTCTTAAATTTCGGTAAATTCTATAGATGATTTTTGCGATATTTGGTTAAGCATATTTAACATCCTTTTACTTGTGAATTTTTGCCAATAGTTAACCGCCATATCATTTAATTATTCACATATTATTATGTTAAATTTATAGTGTTACCTTATATTTGAGGGTTTAGTTCTAAAAATAATTTAAATATTACATATTTTCTATGTAAAGGAACAACAAACATACATTTTAACTCATTCGTTAATGAATGAAATAGCAAAAGCACCAAAACTATAATTTATCAGTAACCAAGGGATCAAAAAAAATTCTTCTTTTTTTATTTTAGGAAAAATGACATTGTATTGCCGTTCTTAAAATAATAGTCGAATATATATATATACATATTTTTGTATGTTATATACAAAAAATATATAAATTTATACACTTTTATGACTACCATTATGTAAATAGTTTCAGTTGCGGGCTAAAAGTGATACCTGTGTACAACATATAGTGAACAGTAAATGATTGTAGTATTTTTCATTGTGGCTACCCGTGTCAATATTACGTATGTAGTGAAAGTTGGTTTTATCGAACTTTCCTAAAACTTTATGTATGTAGAGAAACTACCAGCTATATTCATTTATAAGCAGCTCATTATAAAATTAGTCAATTCATAAAATATTACTAATATTAGCCAATTAGCTATTTATAGCGAAAAAATGTCAAATGTTTGCTTTCTTTAGAGTGGATGTTATTAGAATAGATTGGGTACATCTTAAGGAGCTTGAATCTCAGCTTTGGGATGATTTGGTGAAGTTTTGAGGCGGTTTAAATTGAAATTTCGAAGTAAAAACTGAAGACGAAAAAAAAATATGTGTATCATTTGTGTATCACATATGTATCATATTTGTATCAATAGTGTATCACATGTATATCCGTGTATACCTGTGTTTGAGATACATGCATGATACATATTTGATACATGTGTCGCAGAAGAATTTTTTTAACTCGATTTAATTACAAATTTCGATACAAAACCGGTTCAAATCACCTTCAATCTTCCTCAAATTTTGTATATTCACTTATCAATATGTTTTCAATGAATTTCGACTATACCCATTGAAAAAGTTCTCTTTTTGCTTAGACTTTTGGAATATTGTATTTTATTTTATTTTTTGTATTTCATCACCTTATTTGCTACCTCATCCATGAAATTTCCTTTCCGTCTTGCACCTAATATTGCTAATTACGCTTAAAAATATGGAAGCTGATTTTTGCATGTGATATTTTAGAAAGAACCTTATTTATTTGGTTTTTCAACTTTTATATGTATTTGGCTAGTTTTAATAAGTTTATGATTAATGATTAGAGGTTGATAAGTTGAGACTTATTTGGTATACTTGTATCCCCTTTATGTAACCGATTCCATGTCGACAGTGTTTAAAAACTTTAAGATACTTTTATTGAATCCACATATAGTGGGCATCTTTTAAAGTATATATGTAAAGTAGAAGCTTATAAAGGGAAGTATTGAAGATAAGGAGTATAAAATATGGCCATGAATCCATTCCCATATCCAAATATGTGAACCAAAACAAATAAAATAAATCTGTGATCCACTTCTTTTTATTTCATAAGATAGTGACAACACGTAATAGCAATAGTTCCTGCTTCTCCTATTGGTTATTCTACACCTATCATCTTCTTCCTTAAGCCCACCTCTCATCCTCCTCTATGATTAAAAGTTGAAACTAAACCTGCTGAATATAATCAATAATCCCCAAATGGTATGTTTTTCATCCTTCAGTTTAAATCTGGAAGAAATCTCAAGTGAATAGAGCTTTGGAATTCGACCAAAAAACTATGGGGTTCTAATATACTACTCCATTCGTCTCAATTTATGTGATACTCTTTACTTTTTTAATCCAACCAAAAAAAAAATGATATTTTTCTATATTAAGTAGCAATTTAACTTTAAATTTTTTTTTATTCTTAGTGAAATGATTTCTAGTCACACAAATTTCTATGGTTTAATTTAGATCATGAGTTTCAAAAGTCGTCATTTATTTCTTAAACTCCCTGCCTAGTCAAACACCTTCACATAAGTATTAATCACCCTCTACTTTAACATGTACGGGACCCACTTTTACACGCGTTAAAGAGTAAAAATTAACTTTTATCCTTTCATAAATATATCTCATTTATCAGAAAAAGCTAAGAGAAATATTTTGGCCAAATGGCCTCGTGGCCACTTAAACTTGCATCAATTTGCAAAGCCGATATACAAAGTTATACTTATCTCATATGAATACTCTAATTTAATGGAATGAGTACTAATAAACACATCCAATAGAGCGTGTATATTAATTGCACTGATATGTACAACACGTCATATGCTAGACTATCTATTGTTTGACATGTGTTATTTGTGGGTTCTATTTTTAAAATTTATTCATCAAAATTTTATTTTATTTTTTTACTTTTCCTCTCCACCCAAACACTGTCTCTCCAAATCAGTAAAAGAAGTTACTGCTGGAAAAGCTTTCGACCAACCCCAAATCTTAAATAGTAGGCGGCTCTTTTTTCTCCATAATCATTGTCAGGAACCATTCTTCAATCACATCTCAAGAATCCAAATCAAATATAATTTGAAAGTTTCCAAAGGTTTTACAACTCATACACCCAATAAAGAGTCAAATGTTCTGAATAGCTTTTCATCAGATAGTGGGTGGTATAACAATGAAAGAAGAGACTGAATTTGAGGTGAAAGAGAAGATGCTTTTTTCAACTTGTCTTCTTGTCGAAATTCATCTGAAATTCGTCTGGTAGAGAAGTTTGATTATTACAGCGACTTTACTCGCCGGGCTACAATATGTACTGATAGGTAATAAAGGGGGAGGATTTACAAGTGGAGAAGAAAGAGAGGGGAGGAGAGTACTGACGGGTCCTTTTTTCACTTTCTTTGTAATTTTTGAAAAAATTTCCCTTTTAATTTTATTCTTTTTTAATCAGACTACTATTTTTACGTGCATTTTCTACGTGATGGGCACTCATTTTGTCCACACAACATATGTTAATGTCACATAAGCATAGTCAACGGTCAAAATAGTTTATTCATACTCATTTCATCAAGTTGGAGTGTTCAAATGAGAAAAGTGTAAGTTTATGTATTGGATTTACAAATTGGTACAAGTTTAAGTGGTCACGAGTCCATTTGGCCTAAAAGTTAATGCATTACTAGTATAATTTTTTTTATACTATCAATATAATTTAACTTATTATAACACATAACTTATCATTATTTTAGGTTACCAATCAATATTATTAGATAGAGTCACCAATTATTACTTTTAATCTATACTATATTAAAAGCACGAAGATCCTTCACGAAATATCGTTCGCCTTTTTTGTCCTCTAAAAATAGAGTTTAAAGTAGACAAATCAATCATTTATATTAATTTCCTAATATTTAGGAATCATCATTGAATTCCCTAACATTTAGAAATAGCCATTTAATCATCTCCTAAATACTTAAGACTTTAATTTTAACTAAAATTTGGTTAATATTTTTTCCTTATTTAAAACAGGTAAAAGTTTTTGTATTTAGAAATTCAAAGTCAACATATCTCTACTTACAAATATGGCCGTCAATATTTGTGATTTGAAATTGAATAGGCACGATCAAAGAAATGCACTTCCAATTTCTATTTTTATATTCGGAGTTTATTTTAAATTAAGACAAAAAGTTGATTGTTAACGTTATTAATTTCTAATTCAAACAAGTTAACAAAACTTTTAATTTGTTTGACATTGGATGTCTTTTATCAGTTGACAAGATTTTTTTTTCCGGAATTTAAGTTTTCTCCTAATATTTAGAACTTTTATATTGTGACGACTCGGCCCGTCGTCACGTGAGTTACCGCCCCGTTTCCCCCATTTTCTGCCTCCTCATGTTTTATTATAAGAGTCTTGAGTGAACGAGTCGATTTGGATTGGTTCTGGATGGAAATGAGACACTTAGTCTCTTTAAGGAAGGCTTGTTTTGGAAAAGTCAACCGGATGTAGACCTATTAGTTAGAGGGATCGGATGTAATTTTTGGTGATTTGGTTAGCTTCGGGGATTGATTTGTGACTTAGGAGTGTGATCGGAATTGATTTTGGAGGTCCGGTGTAGAATTAGGCTTGAATTGGCGAAGTTAGTATTTTGGCGAATTCCGGTTG